CTTTTAAGCATTTTAAGGCTATTGTTGTGAATGTCAAGGAATTTTGGGCAAAGTAGAAAATGACATGTTTGACAAAGGCAATCTTAAAAGTACCCCCGGGAAAATTACCCAAAATAGTGCATTTTAAGTCTACATTTCAAATATCAAATCCTAAAACTTTTCTTTTCAGGGGTTAATTCATCTTTTATTAAAAATAATATTATAAAATTAAAATTTAATCCAAATATTCAACCCCAAATATCATTTCTAACCCTATCTTCTCTCTCTCTCGAAGCTTACTGGCTCCCCAGCTCACGAGTCCCCCGCCGGTAAGCTAGTCGAGGCCACTGAGCTCCCTGCTTCAAAGGATCCGGCCTCCGCCCTTGGCTCAGATTATCAACCGCCCGCCGCCTTTGGCCTAGGTCCCGACTTCCGGTCTTGACCCGCCCCAAAATGATAGGTTAGCCGGAGGTCAACGGGCCGTGCAACCATTCTCACCGCTTCCGACTGTGCACGCATCAGCTAACCATTCTGACTCGGTCTCCTCTTACAAAGGCATATCGAATACAACCAGCAAGTACATAGAGGTATCCTTGAAGTGAGAATTTGTCAATTAATATCACATTGATAATGTTTTGTTCTAAGTATTCGTCATAAAATGTGTAGGACAAGAGAGTGAATTGGCATTCAACTCCATTCGAGGTGAGCTTGGAGAAAGCTCTTGACCGACGTGCTGTAGAAGCCTAATATACCCAATTGCATTCTACAGAAGAAAGATGAATTGAGATTTCTGTTATAGCTTGTGAATTTTTTGTGAATTTTATGCATTTGTTTGTTGTACTTGCTCATACTTTTTTTATTGTTTGTGAATTTTGATATGGTTTATATGCGATTGTTTTTTTATTGCAATAATTTAATCAAACTCTGTTTTAATTGTCGATGGAATTGATTGATTACTTATTTATTTTCTCTTATTGCTATCAAGAAATTACCATTCCACTGTCATCTTTGAAGTAGAACTCCTTGCTATAATCTAAGAAACAAATCTTTGAAGGTGGTAGTGGTGGTGCATAGAAGAGTTTTAGTTGAACATCAGTTCGGAATTCATTGGCATGAATTTGAGTTGAAAGAGGTAGTGGTGATTCATTGTTATGTGTTTACTGTGACCGGTTGTGACCAATTTTGTGTTAATTGTGACCGATTGTGATTGGTTGTGACCAATTTTGTGTTGATTGTGACCGATTGTGACTTGAGATTGACCTAGTCACAGACAGT